TCTCACAAAAATCTGTGAATTTCAATGGTGATTTCTGTTGGGATTTTCTTTTTGCAATGGCTAATCGTTTAAATAGCTTTTGTGCGTTTGAAAAGTGCATTCAACTCTGTTCGGACTTTTCAATGGTCTGAGTAATTCGTATTCGTAATTTTGTTTTTCATTTCCGGCTATTGTTGGCAAGTTTTCGTGACGTCGAGGAAAGAATTGTTCAGAAGTACAGTATGCTGACTAATTTTTACTGCAAATTTTTCAGTAAGTTCAAGTTCCGAATGGTGATCTTGGACTGATCGTAATTCTTTGCGTGTATAGGAAGCTTTCGAAGACGATATGCCTTATTTTTTTTTGAAGAGGTGGATTGTTGATTACAAGTAACGTCGTGTAGCCTATGATGTAGTCGATTCTCGCAACAACAAAAATTCGCCAAAAACCCTGATTTACTTCTTGATATCGTTCTGTTTCAACATTTTTTTTAATGTGCTCAACACCTCAGTCTTCAGGATTTATTGTTTCCTCATGTTTGCATATATTCTTTGGCTAAATCCAGACAAGAATATGGCCTCAACACAGGACCAAGCTCAAAAGAAGAAAAGACCATGGCTTTGAAACTGGAACACACTTAAGCCGCATTTTTCGTTTTGAGAATTGGAAAAGTTTTCTCTTGCTTTGTGTTCCTGAGTGAATTTTTGTTTTTCAAATTGACTGCCAATAAAAGCTGAGAGACCTGCACACAATTCCAACATATTCAACCACCACGTTAAATATGCTTTTATCATATTTGAGCTGAAGCCTCATAAGAATATAATAGAATCTCACCAATATCGAAAAATTTGTTCTAAAATCATATCATTCACCTTCAAAGAATTTTTTTTATTCCTCTAGCTGATCGTAGTAAAATATCCAAAAACAGAGCAAGAGCAAGCAAACTGATTTACAGCTAAGATAATTTCGGTTATTCCATTAAAGGCTATTAATTCATGTCCACCTTTTTTCAAAATATGGAACCAAAAATTAAAAAAGCTCTTTGTTTGGATCACACTTTGAGTTCCAATTTTTTCTTTTGCATTTTATAATACAGTGCATATAACCTCATTCATAGAAGGTACACATGGACTCTCTACAACAATCTTGTCTACACCAATTTTACCTGTGCATAACAAATTTAAATTTGGTCACATAGGGTTTCTTCCCAATGTTATATACTGGTTCTAGACAACAAAACTCTCTCTTCAATGCATTACTCTAGTCCCTTGAGTTTTGTTGCAGCAATCCAGTCATCCCAAACACCTTATTTGCATGCAGGCAGTCATGGAAGCCAGCATGAGGCTGGCACCCAGCAAGCTTGCATTGGAATTTGGGAGTTGAGGGACTTCCGCTGCTTAGTTTTTTTCCACTTCTCAGCACTACCTCTAAAATTTTTTGAATCTGTTCGCTTTCTTAACCCTTAGGCGGCGCCGCCAGGATTTATTTGCAAAATTTTGTTTTACTGGTAAAAGAGGAAAGGAAATACCTAGGATGATCCCAAGAGCCAAAGTTAGGAAAAATCCTAATTTATTTTCTACGTAGTGCATACACATTTTTTAAAATTAAAAATTCATTTCCTGCCTGCTGGTTGCATTTTTTTATACATTCCAGCTATAGGATTAGCATAAGGGGGATTTTGAAGACAATGGTTTTTGCTCTACAGGATTGTTGAAATTCAGCCACTTGGCCAAATCTGAGTTTTGTGATCTTTGGTCAAACCAAAATTCACCAAGCATGAAAAAATTTCCCAGAACTACCACACAATTAAAACTGACCAGCAGCTACCACCTGCGCCCCATTTATCCCTAAATACAGCTCTGGAGAACAGCAGTTTAGTGGAAGGTGTTGCCTGACAACTTTTCTGTGGAAAGTTTTCATTGAAATGGTTCCTGTGACCATGCCATATCACTTGGAACAATAAAACTTCATACCTTTTGAAAGGGAGTTGAACAAGCTTTAATTTAATTTGTTTTTTATTTATTTTTCCACAGCTATGGATTGACTGCTAAGATTACGCAAGTCAAAAATTGGTTCATTCTTTTTTGTCCAGCCTATATATAAATATATATGATTGATGTTTTCATTGACATTGTAGACATTTGCTATTAACAAGATTCAGAAAAGAAATGACAGCATTCACTATAGAAAGGAATGACAGCATTTATTGAAAAATTAACAATTATTCATGCAACAGTTTTAAAAAACTCAATTCCAAGACTCAAACATCGCATGCAGGTGTGGATTCAAAAGGTCTTTGACAATATTCAGCTGTCAGGGCAGTCATCAATTGCATGCTAGTGACTCTCAGCTTGGCCAGGTCAGAAAGGATGTCAGGTCCTAGACATTTGGTTAGCTGGAACATCTGGGCCACAACATCAGTTGGATGTCCATGTTCTTTAAGAGGATCATATGGAATGGGCAGGCTTCCATCCGACAACACTGTCACATACGCTACCAGTCAGTACATGAGCTAGGAAGGAGTCAGTCAATATTGAATTTTGATACAGTTGAACCTGTCAAAAGTCAAATTTGAAGAGGCTCCAAATAAATTGGAATTTGGATGGTTGTTGAGTTTGGGAATAAGAATTCATGCATATTGTTGAGGATTCAAACAGAAAAGATCTCAACACAAAAGGAAGGAAGAATAATTTTGAAGAAAATAGGCTTGGTTGAAGAGAAATAAAAATGCGGAATCCGCCTGGGACAAGGCAGGGAATCTCTGGTCAGATTCCAAAAGAAAGTAATGAATATATTTCAGATTTTGTACGAGTCCCAAAACACACAAGAAATTTATAGAAGATTTTAAGTTGAATTTTCCTCTTAGCAAAACTCTCAGTACCCGGGAAGATGCTCCGAGCAACGACTCTTGAAGACTGGTGGTGATATATTGTTAAAATCGGGTTTTTATTAATTTCTTGATTTCTCCTTGATCCAGGATGTGGATCAAGGATGGGGGTTGGCGCCAAGGCATCTGATTGGCTCAACAAAGTTGAGTCAAAGACGTCTTGGCGCCAGATTTTGATTTTTTGGAGGGGGTAAAAAGTTTGTTAGAGGATGTCTCTGGCGGTTTTTTCCTCTTGAGTGGTTTTCCACTTGATTAATTTCTTTCCCGCCGCGTCCGAGATTGATAGATTTATTTATTTATTAATATTGTCCTTGAGTCCCCAACACATATTTTAATCAATGGAAATTATATTCAGGTCAAGTCATTAGAAATGTGCATAATTCACAGGTTCGAAACCTGCAGGGAGATCTCTCAAAAATAGCTTTGCATGTTTGTTTTTTTTTTTTTTTAATTCATTCCTATGTTTTGCCTCAAACCGGTCTTGCAATTTGACTATAAAGGCAACGTGACACAAAACTTTTCGATTTATGGAGACCTAGATTGGATAGTACCAGAGAGAACTTTTCAGTATTTAAATGGAAATTAAAAATAAGGAGGAATTTAAGTGACTCAAAAGCACTAATGCTGTGGAGAATTCAGTCAATTTTAGGTAAGTTTTCCCGCCAGATTTTGAACAAGAGCGGAAAATCTCTTTTCAAACTTGGAGATGAAGTCATCAAAAATTCGCTCATTGATAGATTCCTGTGAGAAAGCAATGAAATGATTTTTTGTTCATTTAAAAATTTCATTAATTCATCTGCTTTACAAAATGTTGATGAAATACTTTCTGTGTTGGATTGACCAGAGAGACATCTACCGCTCATAGGAACTTATTTTTTGATTCTGCAATCAATTTTGCATTTCCCACTTGATTGCAAATTAGCTTCACAGAATGAAGGACACATGGCTTTTTTGTCATTTATTTTTCACAAGTTTTTGCGCGTATAAAGAGAGGAGACTTCGTAATTTATGATGAACCACGTAACATACAGCCCTCTCTTTCTGGCTGATTTACACCTGATGAAAGTTCTCTTGAATTTATAAATTTAAAAAAATTACTGAATGATAAATTGTTGCTTGTTCGACTGCTGGAAACTCACTTCAGGGATAGAAGGCAAGCAGTTGTTCCTTGTCTTCTTCTCCAGGAAGTCAATCAAGATGACGTTCAATGCGCCGGAGTCCCGCAAAGAGCCGAGCATGGTTTTGAAATAGATGTCGCTCTCTATTCGGGCAGCATGAAGCTGTGCAAACTGGTCAGCCCTCCAGCACACCTTTTTCCTGAGTAAGGATCCCTCCACGTCCACGCTGACTTGTGGCCTACGTTCCAACACTTTGAATCGACTCAAAAAGGATCTCCATTTGTTTGACAAGCGCTGCTCACGAGCCACTCTGAGTCTCATCTTTTCTGTGGCTATTTCTAGAGCTGAGAGCCTTTGTTCTGGGTCGGCTGAAAAACTTTTTTTTATTGAATGTGTTATTTACAGTACTGTATAGTGTTGTTATATAGGCGTCTCAATTCCAGATTGGGTCGCACCTGTTTGAAAATATGTGCCTGAGGTGCATCTCACACTTGATGTTCAAAAGTTATACATCATAGCAGCATCTGTCACAAAAATGGTTTTTTTGGAAAACCTATGTTCAGTATTGCAGCAAGATATGGTATGTGAAAGCATTTGCTGTAACTACAGTGTACGATTTTTTAAAACAATTTAAAAAATATTATCTGTAACTTCACTTTTTGTAACATGATTTTATTGAATTCAATCAAGAATTGATGTCTGAATTTACAAATAGTTATATTTTTCCAGAAGTTATGCGCTTAACAACATATCTGCTCCAAAAAAATTGCAAAAATAAAATGCTTTAATACAAAGATTGCTTTAACAATATCTCTTGCAAGAAAATGTAAGAATATGTGTTGTAACAAATTTTGCTTCATAAAGATTTGTTGTAACAAAATAAGCTGTGATAACATGAATTGTTGAATTGAATAAAAAATGTGTGCCTGCATTGCACACACATATCTTTTCATATTGCAAAGATTCCCAGGGTAGTCGGTAATTGGTAGACATGTACAGTATTTAAACAAGAAAAGTCCAATAGGGAATCCGACCGTCTTTTATTCCGACCAGATCGCAAGACTCGAGTAATCAAAATGCCATAGTTGAGGTTTTGTCAAACGTCACTCACGCCTTTCAGAAGCTTCGCAAAATACTCAAAATTCATTCCCGTGCGAGATTCACGCAATTTTTCCTTTCCTTCTTTCTTCTCTTCATCAACTACTGGCTTGAAACAAAATACATGTTCGTGTCAAACAAGCAAGCACCACGTCCGGGTTTTCTTTTCTTTCCTTTTTTTCCTTATTTACAAAAAAGAAATTCGTTGTTCTTGCTCGTATATCTGATCGGCTATACAACAATGTCACGATGAGGGTCAGGCCAAAAGTTTCTTCAGTCGAAGGATAAAAATTAACACGAACGATGGAAGATGTTCAACTTTTTTAAACCTCCAACGTGAAAATTCGAATGTTTCATTGAGATTCGCCAAAACAAAAATCTGCCAAATTCCTAAAATATTTTACGCGAGATTATTGCACGATTAATTCTTAAATTTGATTTTGAACCTACGATTTTGTGTTGCCATGATTTGAAATCTGGAATTATAATTTAAATTGACTAATTTCCGATGTCAAGGGGGTGAATTTATATCATAGTTGTCGCTGCCTCGTGATTTTATAATTAGTCTTATTTCAACCAGTTAATTTTTTTCTTTCATGCGAGGTTTTTGTTGAAAATCTGCTGACGCTATTTCGGAACTCCATGAAGATTGAAATACACTACTGTATACACACTGCAATAATTTCCTCGAGAAAATATAACAACGCAAAATATTCTTCCTTGAAATAAAAACAATACGCATTTCGAAACTTGCGAAGACGGCTGCACATACTTGGACAAAATTTTAATTATTCTTCCGATATGCTTGTTTTTATTTTCTCGCATTTTGTTCATAATAAGATCAACAAATTCGAGATGAAAAATTGAAAGAATGTTCGTGAAATTCTGTGTCTTTCAATAATTCAGAGATTCTCCACACAGAGCTTAAACTTAAATGAAAATCAAATCTTTTTTATTCTATTTTTGAAAAAAGAGCTCACGAAGGCTTTCGACCCAACCCTCATGACGTTTTTCGTTATGTCATCCAGAATATCGACTTGCAGAGAAAAGAAATCAAAATGACCGCAAAAAATAGGAGAAGGAAAAAAAAAACAAAACAAAACAAACGAAATTATCTAAGCTCAACTAAGATCCACACGAATGTCGTCTCCCTTTCACTCATTCGTCCCAAGTATAAATGCACCCACGTGCAGCAGCAGTTTTTAGTTTCCTTCATCGCCGAGGTACGTCAGTGATGTCATTCAGTATCATCAATTGATGGTCAAATTGGCAGTTTTCTTTGCTTGTTTTCGTTTTTTTGTATTGCTTTTAAGTGCTTTTTTTGATGTCGCATATATATCCCACAGCACCTTAATTTTTTTTTTCAATCGCTCAGATTCGGGAAATTCCTACGGCTCCAGAGTGACACGTTTGTAGCAGCCGTCGGGCAGGGCGTCGTTGATGGCCTTGATGTTGCGCACTTCGCTCGTGAGGAATTCCAGCTCCTTTTCGTAATCTGTCATCCAATTATGCTGCGAGATTCAAAAATACAAAGGAATACTTGAGTTGCGAATTTCACGATTATTTTTCCAGCATTTATTCCAAGTATTCAAGCAATGCTGCATTTCTCAGGGGGATATCCCAAAAGAAAAAGCACTTGTGAATACGGGTTGTCAAGAAGAATAAAAATATTGCTTGCGCTGATTCAATAATGATCACAGGTCTTACACATTCCGGGAACAAGGTTTGCTCTCACAATTTCAAAAACTGGTGAACCTATCTAAGTCGAATTTCAAGGGACCAGCAATAAAGATTGACTTTGAGAGGTTCTGTATAGATGTTCCAGCTATAATATAAAGCCCTTTTGTTCTGGGGAATATGGAAAAAGTGTCCAAAAATGCAAATGGTGATATTCTGAGGCTTAAATTGCTTCTTAAATGAGTTGAAAGAATTTTTTTAATTGGAGGCAAGGGTTCATTTGCCCAATTCAATCCTTCACTTCCTTTTAAAACACATCAATTTATACTTTTATTGCTCTTTTATTTTTTGTGTTTAAAAAGTAATTGCCAACAGGCCACAGAAAATTCAACTTATGGAGTTCTAAGGGGAAAAGCCTTCAACTTAGGGAGGTTCTTAATGTATTATCTTTTGAGGGGATTCAGAGGGGGGACCTACAAAAAATTTGACAAGGACAATTCAGCATTGAGAGGTTCAACTGTAGTTCAAAATTGATTGATATACAATCTTTATTTGCTGGTTGTCATAGCATTTGTGGAGTTCACAAAATCTTCACACGTCCCTCCAGATATCCACTTGACAAATATTCCAGCCTATCAAAAATAATTCACAATATAGGTATTGAAAAAATATACATCATATCACATATTTGAATGATGAATTTCCATCTTTTTTGTTATCAAGAATTACAGCACAAGGCACTTACTTAGCACAAAGTAAAGCACTAGGTGTTCAGACAGTTCCCACATACAGTTGCCTTTAACTGATTAAACAATTTAGAAAGAATCTTAAAAGAGGAATTATATAAAGCTAACACTTCTTCCTAGTCCTCTAAGATTTGGGTGAGTGTCTTTTTTATTGAGATGTGAGAGTTCAAACTTCTACGTCTTCTGAAAGCTCAATGCAGCATTGGTTCATTTTCAAAGACCTCTTGAATTTCACCAGAAATTACTTTTCCTATGCTCAGCATTCCACACCATAAGAATTGAGCTTTCAGAAGAGTTATAATACTTGGGAAAGATGATGTAAATATTGATGATACTTGTGAATACTGACATGCGGCAGTGTACACCAATCAATCAAACTCAGGGTGTAAATTTTTACCTGTAGGTTAATTGCAGTGCGGAAGTCCATGAGAGTCTCCTCCAGTCCAGACTGCTGAATTTCGATCTCAACTTCCCGGTATATCCGCTCTAGTCGCTCCAGTTCCCGGATGTCAATTTTGTCAATGCGATTCAAATCTCGGCGGATTTCTTCAACTTTCGCCAGGCCGTCTTTCACGCGATCTCTGGCAGTGGCGGCATTGGCTTTGGCCTGTTCCGCCTTCTCCAATGCTAGCCGACTCACGTTCTTGTCCCTTTGCGCCTGGTCCTGGTAGTTTTCCAATCGTTCATCCAATCTCCGGACCTGCGAGGAAAAAAATGAGATAATTAAAAAAACAAAGGTAACACCTCTTCCTTCCCGAATTTTTGTTCCTGCGAAAATTTGGCTGAATCTTGGAATTTATTGCTTCGGCGATTTTTTAAGGTTACCAAAGGGCTCCGATAAAATGTCTTAAATGTCCGAAACATTTTTCAACGCTTTTGAATTTCAACGTAAAATCGCCGAAGTAAATAATTTCAGATTGAATTTAGAAATAAAGCATGCGATAGGAATCCTGAGCTATCACGGCTTTCCATTCAGCGCTTTTCAAGGAATTTATGGGACCAAAATGAAAAAAATGCACAGCATACAACGAAAAGCGATGGACCAAAAACTAATTTCGAGGTAGAGAATCCTCCATTTTCGGAAATCTTTAAATATAAAATCGCAAAAACAATAATTTCAGACGAAAATTCAGGAATAAAAAACACGCAGCATGAATCTTAACCTGGCTAAGCACATGGGCTTTTTCATTCAGCAATTTTTGCGATTTTTTTATTAATTTTGTGACCAAAAGGCGGAAATGTGTAATACGGTATACTTTATATTGTACAACGAAATTCCATGTACTAGAAAAAAAATTCGTTGTAGAGAAAATTTCGTCGTGGAGAATCCCTTCAACATGCAGAGAGAACCCTGTAAAACCAAACAAAACAAAAAAACATTGTCATGCAGGTGCTGAGAAAATTGTTGCAGACAAAACCTGATACAGTTTGAGATGACTCCAATATCACCTGTATATAATTACTGTGCTATTACAGTTGAACCTCCCTAAGTCTAACCTCCCTAAGTCAAATACCTCCATAACTCAAATTGTTTTCAAGTCCCTGTCTGGATTCCCTCAGAAACAATGCATCAAAAACCTCTGTAACTCAAAGTATTTTTCTCTCAAAACCTCTGTAAGTTAAATTTTCCTGAGCCTTTTTGGTTATTATTTCCTTGAAATATGACAGAGAAAATCAATAAAACAAATGAATTTATGCATCTTGAATTAGTGAAAGACTAATTTAACAAATGAATCCCTGCCTCCAAGTTCAGCAAGCTGTAAACTCATTACACAATAAGTTTAGGCCCAGAATATCCTCATCTACAATTTCCCACAATTTTTTTTTACTTTTCCTCACAGCAAAAATGCTTGTTTCCTTCACTCAAAAGCTCAAAAAAAAATTTAGTAGATTAAAAAATTAATCTAAAAAACCACGTTTTCAATTTGATCCAGACAAACAAACAGACAAGAAAGCGAATTAATAAAAACGTGTTAATAAAAATGAAAACCTCCCCAAATCAAAACCTCCACAAATCGATTTTTTTTCCTGGTCTCCAGAGGTTCATCAACGCACCTCAATGTCGATGTCATTGGTCTTGGCTTTCAATTCCGTGGCCTGGTTTTTCGTGGCCCGGGTCTCTTCTTCGACCTGACCGGCCTGGTTCGACGCGCTGTTGCTCAAGACCTCGGCCTGTTCCGCGATGCTGCGAGCCTGGTCGGCTTCTTGTTCCGCCCCGCGGAGTGCTTGATGCGCCTTCACCGTCAACTGCTCGGCTTCCTCAATCAGTCGCGTGATGTCGTCGATCGTTTGCAACGAGTTTGCGGCTCTGTCTTTGCTCTCTTGAACCTTAACGGAACAATAAATATTCATCAAGTACAGTGAAATCTCGGCACAACTACTTATGTAAGCCGTTTTGGGACCAGCAAAAGCTCATTTCATTACAAATCGATTTCGGGAACACCGCTCTTGCCTTTCTTTTTCATGTAGACCAACTAAACCAAGGTTTTCAACTAACGGACCAAAAGTACTTTATACAAGTCAACCCTCTGATTTAGTGCCACCCTCGCATAGTGCCACAAATTTACTTGGTACAAATCTCCGCGGGCCCAAAAAGGTTGGGGAACACTGGCATAGAGAATTAGTCTCACGCACCTGGCCATCGAAATCTTTGAGAGTGTTGAGAGTTTTCTCAGCCTCCGCCAAAATCGTGTCTCCTCTGCGCACAGCCTCATCCGCGTCCGCTTTTGCAGAATCAACCTCCGCAAGCAAGGAATCGGCAATTTGTTGCTGCTGAATTCCACGCTCCAGCAATTCCGCAGTGTCCTATACAGCAGTACAAGACATTTTTTGAAAAGTCAGCCACTCCAAGGGATACAGTAGATACGATTCGTTTTCGGCGAAAAGAAAAATTGTAAAAACGCGGCTGACAATGCCATTGGACGCGAGTCGGCAATCAAACTTTTCCTTGAACAGTTGAGCATTTCCATTCGTGAAATGAAAACATTTTATCATTCGAAAATTACCAGTGTTGTAATGAACGCCTATATAGAGTGTAAACTTGAGTTTTGGTGCAGTCGAAATGACACCATATTTGTTCTTTTAATTTGGAAGAAAAACGATCGAATGCACAAACTATTTATCTTCTGGAAAATATGTTCTCAGCAGGAAGAATAAGCATCCTAATGTGCGCAAAAAACAAATAAATGCTCATAAATATCCCATAAACCTTCAAATGCGTCATAAGATCTTAATAATGAAGATGTACAGTGTTGGACGTTGGTAAATCGAACCTCTGTATAATAAATCGAATACCTCCCTAAGTTGATTATTTTGTTATTCAAAACTCCGTCTGAATGCCCTTAGAAGAAATGTATTAAAAACCACTCATGTCAAATGGTTTTCCTGTCAAACCTCTAACACAATTTTCTGAGGCCTTTTTGCTATTATTTTCTTCACACAGGAAAGAGAAAATCAATGTAAAATCTAACTTGAGGTGTTTTGAAAGGAAGTGGAAGACTAATTGGGCAAATGAACCTTTGAATCCAAGCTCAACATCTTTTCAACTCATTTAAGAAGCAATTTAAGGCCCAGAATATTACCAATTACAATTTCTGGAAATTCTTCTATCCTTTCCACAACAACAAAAAAGTTTGTTTCCCTACCTAAAAACCTCCCCATCTCCAAACTTTGCTAAGTCAAAACCTCTCTCTAAGTCGAACTTTTTTTCTGGTCCCTTGAAATTCGACTCACAGAGGTTCGACTGTAATTCGTAATTCGGATGACGCTGTTTAAAATTGAGGAGCTCATCTTGTGAAATGTTTATTCCAAGCATTTAAAGTTCTTCCCAAAACCGTCATGCGATGTGATTTTGAATAGGCAAATAACATTTCCAAGCCCATTAAGTTATGATCTACTCAGCAATTTTTGCAGTTTTTCATCAGGGCAATGAAAAAAAGTTTTCGTTCTACTTCGGAAATTTTTTTTCACATGAGGTTGAATCTTTGGATATGGCCATAGCAATTTCGATATGACAGATAAAAATGTGAAACATACATCGTCAATTCAAATCTAAATTCGGATTTGTAGAGGCCACGCACAGGTAGTAATTTACTGCAATTCTTCCTTGGAAATCGGACCAAAATGCGCCAGTTCACCCCGAAAAAGTATTTGTTTCCAGCGACTCGGTTTTCCTTAGATTATCCATGCGATGGTGTTCGTCTCAAGTCTTAGATTACATCACTTTCAGCACATGAACACAGGTGTCGCCCGCATATATTCCGCGCTTTTGACCATAAACAACCTCGAATATTCCGTCTATTTTATTATTTTATTTTATTTTTTTCACGAAAATGTTCCCAAAGAATTACCTTGATCTTGGTATCTGTCACGCGCAACAACTCTTCGTTTTCCCGCACAAGCTCAACAGCATTTTTCGCAACTTCCTCGGCTTCTTCCCTGATTCTGGCCGATTCCGCGTCCAGTGCTGCTGTATCCAGGTCAGGTACGGAGACCAACCTGGCCTCAGAAACCAGGTTCATGGCCTTGTCTCGGGCTTCACTCGACTCCGTGTGGCTTCGAGACGATTGTTCCTGAGTGTCTCGCAGCAAAGTCGTGAGTAGAGTCGTCTCCTTGTCCAGTTGCTCCAATTTTTGCCTGTAAGGAGTTGAAAATTCCAACAATAATTGCCTCAAACTGGATTATTATTTTTTCATTTTATTTCACTTTGCAAAAACTGACAGCTGTTATTGCTACAGTCAAACCTGAATAAAGCCGTCACGATTTTTCTGTCAGGTTTTGTGGCGGTTTTACGGGGTTAGGTGGTTTATCAAAAAAGATAAAATAATAAGAAAATCAACTAGAATACAGGAAATAAAATTCTTATTGTTCGAGAAAACAATCACAATAACTCTGCAAATGCATAGATAATATCTAGCTGATATTTTCAAGAATGACATCTTTGTGTTTGTGTTTCTTTCTCTAAATGAAGATCTCTTGCAGAAACTTGATTCTTTTGCTTTCAAAGCGGAAAATAAATTGTTTTATCTATTTTTCTTACTTAACTTTCCCACGGTAAAATAACGTCATTTTCAACTTACTTAGTCTCAGAAAGCTGGTTGTAAGCACGATCAGCAAGATTGAACGCTTCTGTGGAAATGTTCAGAGCTTCCTGGGCCATGTTTTGGATGTCGTCGGCTTCTCTTTCGTGTCTAAAATTAAAATAATTTCAAGCATCATGAAATCACGAATGACAATGTGGAATACAAATTCGCATAGATCAGGAAAATGAGCGGGGAAGATTTACTTGTCGGCCAATTGACGGGCTTGGCGAGAAATTTCCGACATTCTCTCGCTCTGCTGACCGAATTGTTTCGAGCGTTCTTCGGCACGACGCAAAGCATCTCCGCCTTCCTGGTCCAAGAATGTCTCGGCATTCTGAAAAATTTTCAAAAGTCCGGTAATTTAATCAACGGCCATTTTCAATTAAAATTTTCATTTCCTCGATTATTGGCTACATTTTCTCAACAGAAATGTGTGTTTCAAAACGCTGGCGAAGCCTATGAAACACAAATTTGAAAAATTCGGCGTATGTTTGGAATGTCTCAGATTTGCGCTGACCTGGATTTGGAACATTCAGAAAATAATAAATTTAAGTAGAGATTTATCAAGCATTGCTCATTATCTTTTCGATTCTTATTCCAAAGCAAAAGTCTTTTTTTTCTCAAAGTAAGAACCTGCTGCTAGAAACTTTAAATAAAACGGAATTCCAGCTTTATTCATGCGCGAACGTTTTTCTTTTCAAAGTTCTTGAATGCGAGTGACTCAAATAAATAGTTTTTTCTTCAAGAGAGGCCAACATCCAAAATTAAAATTTTCACCACTCCTATCCACTCGATTGAATATAGCTTCTACCTCGATGTAATATTCAAGACTCTTTGGAATATTCCCGAAAAAATGTCTTCTAGTTTAAGGAGGGATTTACCAAGCATTTCCCATTATCTTTTCGACAATTATCCCAAAGCAAAATATTTTTTTCTGAATCGGAAGAGCCTGAGAACCCGACGATATAATTTAAGCAAATCGGACGTAATTTCAGCTTTTATTCATACACAGACAGCATTTTTTTAAATTTTGAAATTTATGCAGCTGAAATATTTTTCTTCTTCAACGAATGCCAGCATTCAAAATCAGCTAAAAATCGAGTGAAGATGGATGGAATCAATCTCGCTGTAAGTTCCGTCTACACTTTATAGAAATATTGTACGTTGTACGAATGAAGAATGTAAATAAGACACCTTGAGAATTTCTTTGGCTTGGGAAATGATGGTCTCCGTTTGATACGCCGCACTATCTCCTCTTCCGGCCTTTTCCGTGGAGTCTCTGACGGTGTCGTAAATGACCGACAGCTTCGCAGTCATGGTTTCCATTCGTTTTTGCAACTCTAGGAGCTGTTCTGCTAAACTAATATTTCCTCCTGCAATGAAACAATAAAATGAATGGATGAAACACGAAGAATGTCTTTAAAATTGTGAGCCTTGGAAAATTAATTAAGATTTTTTTTTTAATTGCTGCGTAATATCGCGAATTTTAAATGGAGATATACCCTCGAAAAATCCCCAATTAGTCAAATTTCACTGGAACTTTCCGGGTTTTCTTGAACGTCTCACGTCTTCAATTTTATAGTAAGAAACTAAGAATCTCACAAAAAATAAGGCACTCCGTGGATCAGAAATAGAGTCGAGCCTATTTGGACTGCCAAAAAAACTTCGACTTACGGAATTTTCAAGTTAGCTTTTTTGTGGAAAAAATGTCCAAATAATTACAGGGATGTAAAATTGGTGGTTTTTGGGTCTCGAGCTGCTGGATAAATGAGATTGCAGTAAGCTGGACTTTAAAACAAGGGTAAAATTGCCAAGTTATTCACTCCTTAAAAATAACCCAATCAGATTTTTATCGTCCCTCATTTTTTTCTTCAACTCCAAAATAATACCACAAAAAGCAATGCAAAAATTTGAGTAATAGAGGCTATTCGAGGGGAAATTCTTTCGAGTTACGGAGGTTTGAATAGCACTGTTCTTAAGGGAATTCAGACAGGACCACAAAAAAAATTGAAAGTAGGGGGTTTTGATTTGGGGAGGTTTGACATATACAGGTTCACCTGCAGTTCATTGTACGGAGAACACCATTGAAGCAAGAGGAGCTGCGTCTACATCACATTTTGCAAAGGTTAAATAATGAAATACAAAAAAATGTTTCATTTGCGCGGAAAATTTTGCTTTAGGTAAATTTGCAGCGGGAAGAGTTCATCTCTAAAATGCCAACTTTATTTAACCAGCATTAAAAAACTTCAAGCTGAAACTGCAATAAAACTCGGAAAATAATTTTATTAAACTTGTCATTATAAAATTGTTATCCCGTAACTAAAGAAGTGTGGCTACAGTTTTTTCTGCTTAGAAAATTTAGAATTAGAATTTGGCGAAGGGTTTTTTTTTTCTCTGGCGAAGAATCCAGTGCTTGTGCTGTGGGCTGTGTTTTTTTTTTCATCTGCTTTTTTTTTTTTAATGAGTGTTATCTTATACATCCCCAGTTTCCGTTTCTATTTTTTTTCTTTCAGAAAAATAAAATCCCGTTTTGTGGGTTTCTTTTAAAGAGGTCCCAGCCTCACAACGGCTTTTTCCTGTACTGCATTTACTTCATTTCACGCACTAGCTCCGTCGGACCTAAAATCAAGAAATCATTTGTCGTAAAATCGAGTCTTTTGACAGAAATATCATTCATAAGTTCAGGTCCTCTGCGAAAAATAACTGACCAGCAACAGCATCCGTGGATCGCTTGGCATCTTCCAGAAGCTTGTTGACGTCAAACTGAACTCGCCGCAATTCGCTCTCGAAATTGGCGTCTTCTATCAGCGTCCTATTGTTGGCAATCTCGTCCAGCAGCTTTTGAATTTGGCCGATTTTGGCACGGTGTTCCTCGACGGCCAGAAGCACGAGGGAGTAACAAGCCGGACATTCTCGACAGCCCGACTGTCGATCGTACCTGTTCTCTGCGCACCTGTCACACCGTCGCCCTGTCACACCTTCTCGACACGGACACGATCCGTCTGTGTCGCACTGCAGTGACAAGGATCCTGACGGGGAACATGGGACAAAAACGAAATACAGTTATTTCGTAAATCAAATCACAAGTTTTTTTTCAATTTCCAACGCGCGATGAGTCATTTTAGAGGTTCAGTCTTACCACAAGTTTATAGGTCAGTGTAAATTTACTGGTGTTACTCCATCACCAAAACACACTCTTTTCTTATGCAAAGTATTCCACATCATATGAATGGAACTTTCAAAAGAAACCATTCTAACAAGTTGATAAAAAAGGTACTTCATCAAATCTTAGAGGATTAGGAAGAATTGCTGCTAGCTTTATATGATTTCTTTCCAGATTCTTCATAAAATTTTGAATCTACAGTATTGATACTAATTTATATGGGAACAGGATTAACATGTTGTGCTTTAATTTGTGCTTAGTAATTGACATGTGCTGTGATTATTGTCGTAAAAATAAAATAAAGAATAATGATGAGGTGATTCATTATTTATACATTTGTAAATACTGTACTGTGATTTACAGAATAGTACTGTATATTCTTTTAATCCCCATGCAGTGAAGTATTTTTTTTTTGCCAGAATGGATGTGTGGGGGATGTGGGCATTTTTGAACCTTGTGAACGCTGGCACGTGGCAAATGAAGAAATTTAACGTACACTGATTCGATACCGAAGATGAGTCAATGTTACGCACTGATTTTCAATCTAATCGTTTTTCATTTCCCAATCTTAAATGGGCTTTTTTTTTAAATAGCATCACGTGTTCTTTTAAATATTTTTTTTTTAAATAGCATCATGGCGAGAATCGATCTTTACCCATGCCATCACATTCGCAAGGCTTGCAGCCGTCGTAGGAGAACCCGTAGAAATAATCGGCACATTGGTCACACTTGAGTCCGACGACGCCGGGTTTGCAGAAACATTGGCCAGTTTCAGGATGGCAAGTCTGGTTCATCGAACCGATTGCATTGCACTGGCAAGCTTCGCAACCCTGAAAAAAAATATTATAAAAATACATGAATATATGTAGTAACCGAGTGAGAGACAATTCTGAATATTCTGGGTCGTCATCGGAGAATACCCTTGCGAACTCAATTTGAAAACTGGGACTCTTTCGTTCAATTTCCGATTCAAATCAATTCTGCTTCACAAATTCGAAGGAATCTATGGTGATGCAGCGATGAAGAGTAATCTTCAGAAAAATCATGAATTCCACTCAAAGCTTACTGCACATTTTTTTGAATCGTTCTTCTCTAACCTGATCACACGATTTTCCTCGATTTTGGCAATGAAAAAAAAATGGCAAGGCATAATTTGTTTTTTTTAACATGGCTGAATTCGGTGAACTTACTGCTCCACTCCGGATATTGAAGAACCCGTCGGCGCATCGGTCGCATTTTTGCCCAATGACGTAAGGTTTGCAAGAACACTGGCCAGTGAGCTGGTCGCAACTGTAAGTCACGAAGGACTTGTCTTGGTACCCATCACCACCATGTGTGATGGTCTCCACTGTGCCAACGGGGAAACATCCACAAGGTTTGCAATCTCCCTGTTTAAAAAAAAAGAAATCACGGAATCATTTCGGGCTCTTTCTTCAGCAAAAATTGAATTTTGCAACATATTTTTCTTGAAATGCTAAAAAAAATGTAAATACTTGATAAATGTAAGCTTATTTTTTGGAAGAAAAAATGTGACGGAATCTTAAGCGAAATTTTACGTCAGGATTTATTGAATTTATTGAAATGAAGCAGTTTAAACAAGAACAGTGTGATACAGATTTAAAGAAATGATCCATGCTTTTCACATAAGCTGGCCCTTTTTTTTGGGGGGGGGGAGAAATAATGAAATATATGAAAGTTCATTCGCCACAAAAGTCTGGATACGTCCCATATTATTCCTTGAAAAGCCTGATTTTTTTGGACAGGTGAAATCAACCTACGGCCATTATTTTTTTTTTGAAATCATCATCTAGTTGAACCATACAAATTACACTTTACACACCTTGGGGATGCTGAGAGGGTCTCCGTAGTAGCCAGGACGACATTCTTCGCATTGTGGCCCAGCCGTGTTGTAAATGCACTTGAGACATTCTCCTGTTGTCCTCCGGCAATTCCCGACAGCATTGGGATCGATATTTCCGTTGCAGTCGCACTTCTGACAGGGTGTGCTCACGGGTCCTTGTTTCCCACTTGGGTCTCCGAAATAACCGTCGGAGCAAACATCACACCTTTTGCCTGCATAGGGAAATGAGTAGTCGCATTCAAATTCATGCAACCATTTCATTCATGTACCGGTCTTTTCATGATCGATTTCCAAATAATTTTTGAAGAAATGTCAAGGTATGGATCTAATAATGCGAATTGATTGTCTTTGTTAGCCTGTATAATGACGGATGGCATTCATTGGAAATATTTAATGAATGATGTTGTTTACAGTGGTGACACAGAACCCCAGCGAAATCCCTTATAAGAACATGAAAGCAAGGCAAATTTTCAACACAATAAAAATATTTTGAAAATATTTTATTCGCTGCAAGAAAAATATTAGTTGTTCCCTAGCGCGGATAACCTATTCCAAATGTACAAAGTCAGCAGCATTACTCAATTAACAGACTTTCTGAACGACGCATTCATGAAAAGATCGAAAGTCTGTCATCCAAAGGCCGAAAATTTTTCTTGATTGTAGAAATTCCAAGACATGGTGTTCACGCACTGCCTATTAAAAATAAAATTACTGACGTGACAGCTAAATGACGAGAATTTTGAATTGGACCATGGCAGTTACTCATGCATGTTTCACGCTGTTCACAGAATTTCATATTCCCTTCATTTCAAGAGGAATCCAGGTTAAATTCCACCCAAAACTTCAATCATTTTAGTAAGAAAAAAAGATATCGAAGTTGTAACCTGGATTCCTTCGGATATCAAAGGCAAATAAACGCGTTTGGATATTGTGAAACATGCATGAGGACCTGCTATGTTCCAATTCGAAATTCGAAGATTTTGAAAAATACATATATATCGAAATGGGGTCGATTGAATAATCCATGTGCGAGCTTTTTTTTTTCAAGAGTCAATTTACCCTATGGCATTATATCTAGACCCCACTTTACAGGTTATGCCAGTATGGTACCACAACGGAATGCAAAGGACCAGAAAAAAAAAACTCGTTCTGCAGAGAACTTCTTTGTAGGGAACCCCTGTAATATGGGGAGAGAACCATTTGGGCCCAAAATAAAATTCGTCGTACAGTGAAAATCGTTGCTGATGACAAGGTCGTCGTAGAGAAATTCCACCTGATGTACGAGGTTTTTGTTGTTGTTATACTTACCGGAGTATCCTTCAGCACATTCTGTACAGATGACGCTGCCGTCGGTGATTTGAATGCAGGGGCCATCGTTGGGACACGGACACGGCTTGCAGTCTTCCTTCGTGCCCACCACTGCGTTTCCGTAAAACCCTCTGGCACATCTTTCGCAATTATCACCCGCAGTGTTGTCAGCGCAAATGCATTTCCCGGATTCCGCGTCGCAGACATCGGCGTGGCCGTGGCAATTGCAGGGATCGCACTTGGCGAATGGGCCACCCAGTGGAGGCGAGTGATGGAACCTATACATGATATTTCAGAAATTTCGGTGAGATGTGAAATATGAGTGTTTGGAAAATTCTTTTTTGTCTTTTTCGTTGGGGGTCGAGAAAAAAATAATCAGGAGAATACATTTTCTATAGGGAAATAACTGTTCGCACAAGTGCAGACTCAACAAACTCAAAAAGTCTTATACACTAAAAATAAGCTCAAATCACAAAGAATAAATTTTCATCTCGAGCGAGCTAAATTCTTGCTCAACAAATCTTTTAATTAGGTTAGGAGGAAAATTCAGAGGTATCTGTCCCACATGGAATACAGTATCAAACCTCTTCAAGTTGAACTTCAAAGGACCAGCAAAAACGTCGAGTCAGGGAGATTTTGACTCGGGGAAATGAGCATTTTTTGCTGGTGGAAAGATAGAAGAATTATTACCAGAAATTTTAATTGGTGATATTTTTGGGGCCGTAAATTGCTTCTTGAATGAGTTGAAAGGATGCTGGACTTGGAGACAAGGGTTCAGTTGACCAATTACTATTTCACTTCCTTTTAAAATGAATCGTTACAGTTTTTATCGCTTTTCTCTTCCCCTTTTCAGTGAAATAATCGCCGAAAAGCCTTAAGAAATTCGATTTATGCATTTTAAGAGAGAAAGCATTTGAGTTAGGGAGGTTGTTAATGCATTGTTTCTAAGGAAATTCAGAAAGGGACTCGAAAAAATTTTGACATAGGTGTGCAATGCCACAAAAAACTCACACTACAAATATTCAAACAAAAACACACACAGCCAGCTGACTTTGGAAACAGCAAAACCGGTCCTCCAACACAATATCTGCAGATTACAATCTACAAAAACCAGCAGAGAACAATTCACTTTGCCTGCTGATTTTGTTTGGCTTGCATGATCTAATTACTCATTGTGAAATCTCACTTGAATCACTGTTTGATATTCTGTGGGTGACTGAGAAAAAGAGCTATGCGCCTGATGGAGACTAAGTTCTTGACCGGAAATGGCTCATCCTGAATTTTCTCATTTCCATTTCTACTCCAAATTTCTGTTCATTCGATTCCTTTGTCTGGGCTCTTCAATAAGATATATAGGGAGGTGTTTGACTTCAGGCGGTTCGAGTCATCGAGGTTCAAACTAAACAAATCCCCCTTTTTTTGTTTCCTCTAGCTTATCTTCCTGACCTGGGGGCACAGGACTCGCAGAACTGGCCCACGTAGCCCTCTGGACAGGTGCACATCTCGAGCCAGTCGGCAGCCGGGCCAGTCAGGCCTCGTCGCGCAGACTCCAGCTCTACATGCTCCAAGAAACCGACACCGCGAGGATTGAAAGTGCCACGGATCCGGATGCTCGTCACATTGCTCAGCACTGTCATGAAGTCCTTGGCACTCATCCGACGGCTCCATCTGTAGTCCGGGTGTTCGTGCAATACAAACCGGAATTCTTGTGTCTGTGAGAAAAAAAAACAGAACAAATATAATATATTTTTTGAACATCTTGCAGTGGTGCCCAACTCAAAACTGGTGGCGGGCCACATGGCAAGAAGGCGAGTCTATGCGGGCCACAAGAAAAAAAATCATGACCTATAATTAAAATTGTCTGTGGGTGGAGGGGTAATTCAAAAAAATGTTCACATTCTGCAAAACCTCTTCCAATGCAACCCTACAATGCCCTGAAATAGTCAAATTAAGGTTCAATTCCCTGCCTTCGTTATCATACATTAACTGATGGTAAGAATGGTGTGATAGACATAGCAAAAAAACGCTCATAATACGAGGGCATCATCGGTAAAGCTGTCCATCAATAAGAAAATTCATCCGAGCTTGTAATTAAACTTTTTACGATTTCCCGCATGCAAATTCAGACAAAAAGAATATTTTTAATGTAAAAAGTCATTAATTTCCGTGAAATTGTCGCAGTCAATATTTTCGGGGTAGAGTAAAAAACACAATAGCACTGAGAAAGATCTTCCTGGATCAAAAATTCCTCCGAGCTTCTCATCCCGAACTTTTTGACAATGCCATGCACGCGAATTCCGGGGAAAAAAATTTTCAACGTAGAAAAGTTAAATTTTTCTGCAAATATTCGCCTGTAACTCGTTCCGGAATTTCCGCAGTGTCATCTGTCCCCTGAATTCCGAAAAATTGCAACAAAAAATAACGAAAAGGTCCCTAATTTGCATCACACACAAAATTAACATGGTTTTGTTGAATCCTCGCTTACTTGAATGCTTGGAAGGGTGTTCCCAGGACCAAAGATTGGCTGCGAAATCGTCATACCATTGCCTTCAATGATAAGATCATCAGCTCTAACTTTGGATCCCACTTCTCCGATCCGCAGCCGAAAAACGAGTTGCTGATTGTACGACGCTCGCTGATCGCCCAAAAATTTACCTGAAAAATTAAATCAGAGAGTTAATGACATTTCATAAATATTCATGTGCAATACATAGGAATGAATTTGGTATTTTGATGCTTTCACAAAATCGACTGCCACTGCTCAACTGTGGGAAAATGTGAGATTTGGACGCATTATTGAGATTGAGGGTTGTTTTCAAATCCAAGTCAAGGAAATCAGATTTAAACCAACGGATCCTTGGAAGAAAAAATTTCTGAGTCCTACATTAAAGCCAAACAAACCTCTGATTGTTCTTGCGTAATCCATTTTTTTCAACCTCGGTCTTCGTAATTAAAATGAAATACAATATACTGTACTTTAAAAGATTAGATCATTACGAAGCCTTGGATTGTCCAGATTATTTCCTGTCTTCTTCTTTTATCGCATTTCCAATCACCCGATTTTGCAGACACGGGTGACGTAATAAAAAAATGTGTTCAACAGCGTTTCAGCCAATGACTATTCCAATTAATGTATAATAATATCATATTATATGATATTTCACAACTTCCTCGTCAAGTTTCAGTGCAACCAAATGTCTCAAGAATCTCGTCAAAACCTTTGCCAATGGTACACTTGAGTCATCAGTGGCTTTCCGAACAATCTCATTGAATAAAGTACACGACAAGAAAACAATTTTTGGGAACTTCGTGACAAATATCAGCCAACCAGGACATCAATTGATGCGTGATTTCACACTTGATTCACAATTTCATTTTCAAATTTCAGTGCAACCAGTTGTCATGAGAAAGTCGTCAACATTTTCCTTTTTCCCTTTCCCACTCGAGTCATCGATGATTTTAAGAACATTTCCATTGATTAAAGCAGACCGCAAGACAAAAAATTGGAATCTCGTGACTCACGTGGAGCGACGAAATAAACTGCTTCATCCCCGGAAGCGTCAACTTGGATCGAACGGGACACAGTGTTGTAGGAAACAGGGACTGGGCTTTGGTACACGTCCACAGCAGTCCAACCTTCTTCACCGCGAGAAAAAATGCTCGACACTGAGGCTGTGGGGGGAAAAAGGCAAATACAATCATAAAATTTCAGAGAATACAAATTAATTAAGCATCACACGCATCAAATAATTATTTCATCGCACGGTGAAAAGAGCGCCAAGGCCGAAAGAGCACAACTACACTCAGCGCCAGGAAATCTCGAGCGCTACTAAACTGGAGTCAAGTCAATATGACGATCATTTTAATTTACTTAATAAAAAAGGCAAGTACGATCAAAACATTTCAGAGAATACAAATTAATTAGGCATCACACGCATCAAAGAATTATATTATCGCAGGGTGAAAAGAGCGCCAAGGCCGAAAGAGCACAACTAAACTCAGCGCCAGGAAACGAGTCAAGTCAATATGACGACCATTTTAATTACTTAAATATGAATTTTCATTTTTTTTCATCAGAAAAAAAAACAGAGTAAACATGCAACTATTTTCTCATTTAAAAAACGGTTCAAGTATATTTTTGCTTCTAAGCTGCTTCACTAAGAATTGTTTAGAGGCAGACATTTTTATTTTCGTAAACCTTGCATGGCTTGATTTCCCATACTTCCGCGTAATTTCGAATCAGTAAAATCAATAAGAAAATAAGGAGTGTGTTCCACAAACAAAAAATCTTAACCTTGTTCTTTTCTCATCAGGAGTTACTTTAAAATAATACTTTACAAAAAAACACAGTACAGCTACTCAAAAATACAGTAATTTGTACTCATATATGTGAAATCTTTTTGCACGCGATTATTTCATTGATTCAAATTTATCCTCAAGTCCAAGAGAAATCATCTGGGGTTCCCGAAACTATCTTCAACATCTCTTCTAAAGCCAAAATTCAGGAACCATTCTTATGTACTTGAACTTCAACGTCCTACTGCAACGATGGGATTTTCACTTTAAATGGAATTACGATTCATTTGTAAATCAGTTTATTAAGCAAACAAGCTTTTATAGCAGTTCTTGTCTCAGAGGATCATCAGGCAATGAATAGAAGTTTAAATGAACGCAACGATGAAATTTAAACATCTCGATTTATTTTTACCAGCGAACCGTTCAACAATTCGTACAGCTGAACTGAATACAAAGACTCTCAGAAAATTGGCGCTCAGTTGATAAGCGATTAGTTGGCTGGCGCTCATTTGAGCGACCAGTCTTTTTCTTTTGCTACGGTTTTTCGTTTTATGTTTTACCTTTGGCATAGGAAGATGCCGACTCGCAAATTGACGAGTGTCCGTAGCAAAAACATGCTGAGCACCCGAACCTGTTGTCGAACTTGAGGTTGAAGTAACCCGGTTTGCACCTGAAATCACAAATCAATCAATCATTCAATTGTTGGGTCATTGAAATTGTGGGGTTGAAGAAAAAGATAATTTTTAGGCTTTTTTTTATAAAATTGAGACAATGTTTTAGAAGAAATAATCCCAGAAAACCAGAACAGATACATAAAGGTATTCTTTTTTATGAAATTTTAATATCTGCAAGAAATCAGGCATCTTTCCGAATAATGTAAGACATACATAATGTTTTAAATTTCGGCCATAAAATAATTGTGGGGGTCTCACTGTATGTTTAAAGTGACCTATACTAAGGCTTGGATACGCACTAAACCTGGAATCAAAAACTGATTTAACTTTCATAAACCACATTCTGAATAAGAAAATAATGTAAACAAAACGAACTTGTCACAACGACTGCCTTCCACGTTCTCCTTGCAAATGCAGTCCCCTGAAGCTGGGTCGCAACGGGGTTCGTTGTCCAGGCTGCCGGCCACCACGCAGCCGCAGGGTTGGCAACCCGTGTCGCTGAACCCAAAGAAATTGGGTAAGCATTGGTCGCACTTTTCTCCACCGACTCCCGGCTTGCACTGACATTTGCCTTCACTATCACACTGCAAACTTCTGGAACCTGCAAACATTTTTTGAAAAGGGTCATCACTCTACGAAATGTCGCGTTGAATACCACAGGAAACATGTCACAGTATTTACACGAATGTATTGGCCACATGCTTCCGCATTTTTTAAATTAAAAAAAATGGCTGAAAAAAAGGGGTTGTGGCCTATTCTTGAGGAATTTGCGCATTGATGAAAATCGGGATCCGGCCTATATGCAGTACATACGAGTAGACAGGGATTATTTATCTGCCTGCTAAATGACCCAGGCGATGCTGTTCCTGTTTATGTCAATTTTAATGATTGCTCATTCAGGCGTCAAGATTTTCTTTCGTACTACATTCCAGCATTGCTCTCTTAATTTTTTTTTTATAGAAATTTCAATGTTTATCTAGATAGAAAAACGAATTATTCATACTTTGTACTGTACTTCATTTTCCTTTTTTTTAGGAATCCTCGCCAAAAAATGGATGATGCTCCCATTTGCGTAAATACGATCGATTTTATAGAGATTGATTTCTCCTGACGAAAATGTGTCGACAGAATTTTTTTTATAAACTTGCAATGCCATTGTGTCTCACAGCCGGTTTTCAAAATCAACAAAAAAGTCAATTATGTTTTTCTATTTTAAATTGTGTTTCGCTGATGTGAAAATTTGCAGAACTGAGCAACCGCGCAGATTTCAACAATGCAAGGTCTTTTGGACAATTGAGCTAAGTGCTGTATCACATTTTTCTCTCATTGAAAGCTCAAAAAGATTATTTGTGGAAAGCTTTTTTTTCCCCAGGGTAGGCAGCTTTTTTGAAGAAGCTAATTCGATTGTTGAGTAACTACGTCATTTGAATTGAACTGGCTGAATGAAATTGAAATTAGTTTTCTGATTTTCTTGGTGAGTATATTCCCGTGATTTAAATTAAACTGGTTGAATAAACTTGGATTTGGTTTTCTAATTTTCCGTTTCTCAGAATATTGCGAAATTTCAAGAAGCAGTCTGAAATTGGGCTGTATCGACTCTTTGTTTAGCTCATGTTTGAGCAAAAAGTATGAATTTTGAAATACAGAGCGCGCGTTATTTAACGAAAAGCGTGGAATCAGAATTCGTCGTGAATTTGAGTAAGAATTCAAAATTCAGTTAATTAATCGTGACTGCAATTTTCGTTTTCTTTTTTAGACACTGACAAATTTCAGCGATTCTGCTTTTACAGAAGTTCTCGGCCAAGAAAAAATGCTCTGCTTGACACACGTATTTATTTTTTCGACTTGTAAAATATTCCTGACGCATCTCTCTTTAATACCGTTTCCACCTCTTTTTGAAAAATTCTTTTTAAAGCATAAATTCTAGGCTGAAATATGCGTCAGCCAATAGACTAGAAATTAATTCAAAACGAATCAATATAGAAGTTCTGTACAAGAAAAACTGGACAAATAAAATAAGTTTTTGAAAATTTTATGATAAATAAACATGAATAAAAGTAATCTCGCATGAAATGATTTTACATTTTTTATAAATACAATTTCAAGATACCGCAGAACTTCGTTTCAATGAATCTCATTATAACGAATGAATGCTCAGAACGGTTCTTTTTGTTTGTTCTTTGTCTAGCAATAGTCACAATTTTATTTTCATTTCGTTTGAACGAATTTTTTTTCATAACGAAGCTTTTCTAAGGCCCCGAACGCTCCGTTGTAGCGATATTCTGCTATAAACATAAATTTATACCAACAATGCAGTAGAAATATGCAAGAAAGGTTCCTTACCAACAGGATTGCATCGACACTCTATACAGTAATCGTCCCCTCGTCTCATGTAGAAGTTGGGCAGACAGCGTTCGCAATGTGGCCCCGCAGTGTTGCCAACGCAGTTGAGACAATACCCGCCTCGGCCAGTGGAATCATACAGTTCCTGGTCGAACCTGCAGTCTTGTGCTCGTCCATTACATTCGCATCCTGCGGGCAAACAAATAATAATACGGTAATAATAATAATCATCATCATCATAATACCGTAAATCCCACCCGCACCTTTTCCTTAAAAAATTTTGCACAAAGAGTTGGGTGAACGTCATACTCCAGTAAACATTTTCTGTGCAAATTCTGTTAATTTTTGGCATAGGCGCCTTACTTTGAACAGATCTATTGATGCTTAAAAATATAAACTTTCCAAGATTAGAAAAATGAAAAAAACATATGTTGGGCAAGCACGCCATGTAATTTAAATATTTTATATAATTATCTACTAGAAGTAACAAGTAATTCCCCCCTCCTCAAAATCCTCAAGGATATATTTCCTACTCTAATTTAAGGAGTAAAGCCTATTAAAGGTTAAATGTAATCAGTAGTATATAAGAAGCTCCTCTTTTAACGTTCATCATCAGTTGTGATTTATTACTTGAGATACAGTACTGTATTCACTTATCCTGCAAGTTGAGTTTGCTGAGTTTTTGCTGTTATCAAGTTTATTCTGAGTGAAATACATTTAACCCTTTAAACTAGGAAATTCCTAAAAGGAATTCCTGGTCCTGTCCCGGACTGATTGTTGTGTTTCATTATCTTTCGACACTCAACATCAAATTACATTGAGGTGACATTTTGTCCCCAATAACATATGCTTTCTTTAGAGTTTTAGACACACATCAAACTGGCAGATGAAACAATAAACAAAGCAAAAATCAGCCTGATTGAATTTAACCTTTACTAGTCTGCATTTCAAAAGTTAGCTTCCATTTCTTAAATAAATTAAAAAAAATTTTTATCAAAAAACCGGGTTTTGGGTCTCCCTTGGGGACTGATTATTCTCTAAATTTTTTCTGAAAAATTAATCTGGTACTCCAATAAAAATAAGACACTTGTGTAATAATTATGAAGATAAAGCTCAGTGAGGTGTTGTGTCATGCAGTTGTGTGCCTCCAAGACTGATCAAAAGAGCCTGTGACGAAAGAGCGGGCGTCAGAAGAGCACGTGCGCACACAAAAAATAGACGAATGCGGACGAAAGAAAAAGTTGACAGAAGTTCATTTGCTCTTGATTTTTTTTCCACGTGTTTCTCTTCTTTTTTTTTACGTCAAATAATCTTCTGTCCAACAATTAAAATCTGTCCCCTTTAGAATGGAATACTGTATTTTCTTCCGTTTCTGCGCGAATAAAAATGGCTTCTCGGCTCAAAAATATTAATTACCGTTATGAGCAGTATTTCTGAAAAAAAAACAAAAAAGAATACTGAACATAATGACCCCACAAATCAGCGTCTCTGCCGAAAAAAAAACGTTGAAAATTTTGGGAAGAAAGTTTGCTGTACAGTACTTCATTGCTCATGTTAGCTCACATGGGCGTTTATAATTTCCGCCAACAAGGAGTTTGTTCAACTTTTTGCATGCAAATCTTTCAAAACACTTTTAAACGTCTCATTTCCTCCGCTCACTTTCGCCAACAGCTTTTAACGCTTCGGATTTAAAATTGTCTTCGATTCAGTGACAGTTACGACCTTTTGATTTACGATCGATCGGGGTTTTTGTCTCATCGAAGAGAAAACTACATTTTCGCTTCGTTCGCATGCGCACAGATGAAAAGGTGAAAGCAGCCGGAAGTTTTTTTTATAGCCAACGATATTATCATCATTTTGAAAGCAGGAGACTAAAACTTCAGAATTTTAAAACTAAACAAAAACCAACGCGACAAATATTTATAAATTTTCTGAGAACTAGGTATAGGACACCTCGATCTCAAAAACCATGATTTAATTCAACATGGGTCAACTCGGTTTCGAACCAAAATTTCCCAGCAAATTCCAATGATTTTCGACAATCGGAAAACGGTAAATATTTAGTTCGTATTTTTCAGTACACAAACCAAGATATGACTTTTTCTGCTTTCAATTTTCCTCAATATCCTTTTGTGGTCCAGCAGATTGATTTCCAATTGACAGCCACATGAGAAATAAATTAAAAATGAACATCAAGATTAAAAAAAAAAACACTCAAAAAAGCTGAAAAATAGAAAACGCCTGAATCATCATAAGAGCATTATTTTTTTATCAAAAATGTCGAAAATACAGTAATTAATTCGGTGTAATATTGGGACATCTCTCGTAAAGAGTAAGCGGAACTGAGCAAACATTTTTAGATCACCTACCCAAAAAACTGAGGAAAATAAAAGATGCATAATAGCATGAAATTTCGTGAGGTTTAAAATACAGCAATGAAGTACAGTATACGGTATATTTAAGATATGTTTTCGCTTTGGCAACAAGCTGGCTCATGATTCCAAATTAAAATAATTTTCTCAAGAGTGAAAACTCGTGTCTGGTAAAATTGATACGTCAAATGCAATTCATCTCGCTTTCATACGTGCTTCGGCTGCAGTTTTCAAAAATTCGTAATTTCTTTCTCAACTTCTACAAAAAATTGTTTTATGCCTGGAAGACTATTCAAGGTCATTTTGCGGTTTTATTCACTTTCAATAAACTCGAAACAAAAGTACTGTACATTACTCTACTGTAAAGATTTTTTTGTTTTACTGAACAAAATGAACTAGATTTTCACTATTTTCCGATTGTCTAAAATCATCAGAGTCTGTTGAGAAATCATGTCTCAAAACCGAACGAAATTCACCGTTGTTTGAAGAAGGAAATAAATACAAGAAAAGGCATGCAGGCTATTCAAGCTAATTTAGTGGCCCTATTCACTTTCAATAAACTCGATACAGAAGTACTGTACTGTACTTTACTGTAAAGTTTTTTTTTTATTTTACTGAACAAAATGAACTCGATTTTCACCGTTTTCCGATTGTCGGAATCATCGGACTTGGTTGAGAAATCATGTCTCAAAACCGAACAAAATTCACCGTTGTTCGACGAAAGAAAAAAAAATGCAAGAAAGTGCCACTTGGTCGTGCTGGGTCATTTTCTCACGGCCCTCCTTCCCTCACCCCGTTTCGGGGCATCAGTTTCGCAACGTTTTGCGAAACGCATCCACTTCCTGTATTCAACATCTGACCCGAAGTTATCATCATTCCAATTTTTATGTCATACCCCCTCTCCGCGTCTCTCCGATATTTTTTTTTCTTCTTCCTCTCCGTCTTTCTTCGCGTGTCGTATCAAGTATCCATGATAATAATAATAATAAAAGAAGAAGAAAAATAAATGAATGAATGAATCAAAGCTTACAATAAGGCGCCTCGGGGCCTCTTTTATTTTTCGTTCTCTTTTTCCCGCCTTCCATTATTCCGTGCTTCTATTCTTTTGTCCCGCCGGCTTTCGACCATGTGCCAGTCGAGACAAGTCCCGCAGTCAAAACAGACTGACGTGAACGCCCGTCAACGGAAGCATAGCAAAAGAAAAAATAAAGGGGGGACACCGGAAGGAAGTACTGCGCGGGAGATGAAATTAAGGAATCGACCGCTTCCGTTTTTGGGCTAGGAAAACGTAGACTGATTTTTTGCATTTCATTCTACAGTGAGACCCCCACATGCGGACACCTCGACATGAGGACAATTTGACATAGGGACCTTTATTTTCAATAAAAAGGACATGAAAAAGGCCAAACATATGGACACTGAATCGACATGAGGACATTGCATGATCAAATTGCCAATAAATTTCACAAAAATTGTCTTTTATTTGGCTTGATGGCAAGAAACAGTTATTTCCAACCCTAAGATTTATGCAAGAAAAATTCTTTGTCAATTGTCCCATAATTTTCCCATCCATTCCGCTCATAAAAAAAATACCTATTGCATAGAGGAACTTCCTTCTCTTTGGTGACTTGGATGTTATTTTTACAGATGCCAACAATTCAATGAAGTGTACAGGTTTATACTATTTAATGCTTCAAATGTTCTTTTTGGGTTGAAAATATATTCACTGAATCAAATTTAAGTGGAAAACAAAAATTTTTCATGGAATTCTGAAGAATATTCCTTCCATAAAACATCAATAAAAAATTATATAATGTGTTTATGGGAAAACGAGACTCAACTTAAGGACACTCCTGATGCACCAATTACGTCCACATCTGGGGGCCTCATTTTGAAGAGAGAGAATGTTGGGAAGGAGAAGAAATAAAATAGTTTTTTTTTCAATACAAGGAAAAAGACAGTGTTTGTCTTCATAAAACATAACAGACAAGTTGTTATGTGGGATCATTCTTCGAGCCTTGTGAACGCTGAAAAGCAGAAAATAAAGCTTGTTCAAAAATCATTGAACATATCAATATCGATCAATAACAGAAATCTCATGTTTTCTCAGCAGAGATTACGTGAGAGATGAAATCAAGAAATCGATCGCTTGTATTTTGGGCTAAAAAAAAATTACATACTGTGTGAGATTTATACAAAGAACTAGTCGTTTCCGTTTTTGAGCTGCGAAAAATGCCAATTATTTTTATTTCATTTCATTTTCATTTTAGAGAGATAGGGAGAATGTTGCGAAAGAGGAGAGATTAAAGAAAAAGAAGTTGACATATATGTTTTCTTGACGGGAGATTTCTGCGTGAGATATGAAATCAAGAAATCGATCGCTTATATTTTTGGGCTAGGAAAAATGCCAATTTTTATTTTATTTAATTTCCATATTAGAAAACGAGAGAGAGAGAATGTTGCGAAAGAGGAGAGATTAAAAAAAAAACATAGCTCCTCTTTTTCTGACAACAAATAAGACGACATATGTTTTTTTGACAGAGATTGCCGCGTGAGAAATGCGATAAAAATTACAGCTTTTTTGTTTTAAAGATAATAGTGCGTGAGAGGATTATTCCAAGAATGAATTAGTTCCGTTTTCTGACTACAAAAAAAATACTGGATAATCATTTCTAAATTTGGTACTGAGAGAATGCTGAATGAGAGATGATATCGAAGATTCGCGTGCTTCTGTTCCTGATGCATTTTAAATTGTTATTGCTTTAAAAACAGATCCTTCACATAAGTTATCATATAGAAACGGCAGACAAAAAGGGAGAAGCTTTCGTGATAACCAAAATAATAGATTTCGGACAGATGATTTCTGTAAAAAATAAAGATCTGTTTGCAACACAATTTTCATGAAACTTGCAATGCAAGACCATCTCTCGATCCCAAAATCACAAAATATCGAATTTCTTCCGCACATAACTTGGGAGACATAACTGGGAAAATTATAGTACTGTAATATCCTTTTTTCAATTGAAAACGTCATTAATTTCAATTTCAGCATTCGAACAAACAAATTTCAATGGAGTAAACATATTTTCTAAATTTGGATTATACCGCCATCACTTGTTCTCAAAAATTGAAATGCGCCACATTTCATGAATTTCAAATGGAAGCCCAGCTGTGGAAAATTTCGTGCCATTCTATGCTAGATTTCAGCGAATGAAATTCAGTCGAAATATGAATTGTATTCGAATTAAAAAAAAATCGAGAATTAAAAAGTATCTTGTCGAGAATTGAAAATTTGAATCTCTTTACCTTCAGAAATGGTAGCCCAACTGCGGAGCCTTTTGGGCCACCATGTGGACTGATGGGAAATTTTGAAGAATAAATAAAATGTTTGAATAAATGAAACAAAGAAATTTGGTCGAGCTGCAACTATTATAAGGCTGTCGTAATTAAAAATTCAGAAACACATGTTAACATTTGCTCAAGTGTTGGGTACAAGAGCTTGAAATGGAAACGTGAAAAAAGAGTGTGAGTTTTAAAAAAAGGAAAACTATCATTCAAGGATAAATAACAGTTTTTTGGATTTTCCAGAATCCGGCAATGATGTAAACCTTGGAGGTTTTGAGAAATCGGCGTGCAAACCAGAGTTTTTCCTGGTTCTCATGAAGTTGTATAAGGATGAGTTTTCCAAGAATTTCGATTCTTGAGTTAGCATTACAAATTATACTTTACCATTTATTTTTGCGACGTGGACTATTGACTTTCTGGATTTTTAAAGAAAAATTTTATTTTTACAAAATCAGATGTAAAAAAAAACGTCAATTCAAATTTTCAAGTTTCGAGGAAGGAAAATATAATGAATTGTTCCATCAAAAGTAACAATAATAATCGTCCTCTGGTGTTGGGGAGTGAGTCGGGCACCGGTAAACATTAATTAAATATTAATTATAATAATTCCCCACTGCACTACTGCATCCCAAAAACTGGTCCTTTGCAGAAGCCCAGCACCAAAAAAACGAGTCCCAAAGGAATTGTACGACAATGCACAGCATCGTCTTTGATTCCAACGAAATCAGCCAATCAGAGGCCAATATTTTGCACACAAAGGAGACCACTTTTCCTTCTCTTTCTTCTGCATCCAAAAACATGTAACAATGAATTCCATTCCACTGCAAATTCTTGAAGTGTGAAGAACTTTCAAGACATCTGATTTTACCATTGTGTTGTTTGAAATGTGCGTGCATAGTCCAAAATTCTCTGAGTTGCAGTATTCTTTGGGACATTATTAAATGCTCAATTTTTTTGGGGCCTATATAAAGAGGCTCCCAGCCAGTCCCAGGCTGATTGTTGTGTTTTATTCATCATTTTCATATTTCCTTTGTTGAGACTTATTAGTCTCTAACATCCGGCAATTGGAGGAGATGACACAAATGGATCAACAACACCAACAACAACAAAAAACGCTTCGGAGAAACTGACCGTCGCCACGAAAGGAGTTGATGGGCATGTCGCCGCGGTCGGCATCGACGACGACGACGAGCTCGACAGCCGCGCACCAGAACGCGACGCTGACGACGACGAGCCCGCGCCACGACGTCATGTCGGCCGGGCTCTTTCTTTTTTTCAATATTCTTTTCCCGCCTTTTATCCCGCTCTTCTTCTTGTTCTCCCTCCTGTTCTCGTTCTTCTTCTTCTTGTTCTTCTCCTGCTTCTTTTTTGTTTTAATATCCCCCAGTTTCGGCAATCGCGTGTCACAAACTCACGGCCGCGTCACTTTCTCCATCCCCACTCGGTTCTGTCCCCACGCCGAACCTGGGTCACGTCATCGACGGCGATGACCACAAGTGAATTCGCCGCAGGAATTTTTAAACCCCGCGATTCTTTCTTCTTGTTTTCTTCTTTCGAAAATTCGCGAGCAAAAATGTATGATCCATAATTTGCATTTCATCCAACGCAGAGGAAATAATATTTGAGGGAAAATATTCAAAAATATTAAAATGCGGTATTCGGAAATTTCTGCACACGCACAAAATTCGCAAGAAGTATATTTCGCTAGGTATCCTTCATGCGAGATGTTCCTGAGGGAGATATTTTTTAAAGACTATTTTTCGTTCGATAAAATACGGCTGATTCAAGAGTTTCCACCGTCAGATCATCTCTAAACTCAGAAGTTTCGCTCATCAGCACTAAAAAAAGCTCCTTATTAAAGTATTTTTGAAATGTAAAATGAACCTGGTTTATCTCAAGGCACAGCAATTTCAGCAATGAGTGAAAAAAATTACTAAAACAATGTTTGACGGAAAATGTTCAAAAATGTTGAAATACGGTACTCGGGAAGTTCTGCACACACACAAATTTCGCAAAAATTATATTCCACTAGGTATCCTTTATGCGAGATGTTCCTGAGGGAGATATTTTTTCAAGATTTTTTTCGTTCGATAAAACGCGGCTGATTTACGAGCTTCTATCCTCAGTTCATCTCTGAACTCATTGGATTCGCTCATCAACACTGAAAAAGCTCCTTATCAAAGTATTTTTGAAATATAAAATGAACCTGGTTTATCTCAAGGCACAGCAATGAGTGAAAAGAAGTAGTATTATCATGCTCACGAAGTTTTGAGTTTCTATTATTTGAGGCAACCTCTTAGACTTGTTAAACTTATCGAGGAAAAATAATTGCATCGGTAGTAAGTCAAGAAGAAGGAAACATCATCACTTGTAAATTGGGAAAACAAAATAAATATTGTATTTTCGTGTCCATAAGCTCGTCAGGTTTTTGAACGATTACATTTCCTACAGGGAAGAAACTTAGAGTTTGTCATGTTCAGCCGTTATAATAAAATAAATAAAACATTCGTTAAAAATACTTATTCGACAAGTGGAACGGGTGAAAGAAACGCTTCATTGTGTGAAATAGTATGCTAACTGATCATGATTTTCTCAAAGCAATGTAGATCGCTCAATATGTGTTCAAAACGAAAATTCAGCAGTGTTTCAAGGAGTAATCTAACAGAGCAGTATTTCAGGCAAATATCTCAAGACGTTCACCGAAAATACGTATACAGTACATCTTCACGACAAATAATAAATTCATTTCATGTTCGTATCTGAGAAAAGAATTTCGGGAAACTCCTGGAACTTCTTCCGAACAACTGATGAACAAAATATTTCGGTCCCCCTCCCCTCGCAAAATTTTGAATCTATCTTCGCGTTTCGAAATGAATTGGCACATGACGGGTTTGAGAAATCAATTACAATATCGTTCCGTTCCTCCAGAGAGACTAGATCTCAAAAATACATTTTCATGAATTAATGAGGAACCAAGCATGTTGCGAGAACAGATCATTGCATTAAAAATTCGAAATAAGCTACTATATTTTCAAAATTCAAGCATCAAGCACCTGCGCTCCTTCGTTAACAACAATTGTGCACGCCTTAAAATCTGATATACAGATTCTTTCGAATTTCTTAAAATTGATTTTGTCAAATGCTGTAATCTTAAAATCGACGGGTGCAAAAAATTTCTTGATAAAAATTCTTGGAGCACCATCATCAGCAACATACGACAAAATATCAGTCCCCTGGATTTTAAATACAGTATCTTGCGTTTTTTTTTTTAAAGAGAATTACGAGGAATAATTTTAATAGACGTGTTTCCCGATCAACAAATTTTTCGAATTTCTTGAAATAGATTTTGCCAAATGCTGTAATCTTAGAATCAACGGGTGCAAAAGTAACAATTCTTGGAACACCATCATCAGCAACATACGACAAAATGTCAGTCCTCTGGAATTTTAATACAGTATCTTGCATTTTTATTAAAGAGAATCATGATGAATAATATAAATAGACGCGTTTCCCGATCAACACATTTTTTCGAATTTCTTAAAATAGATTTTGTCAAATCCTGTGATTTTAAAATCAACGGGTGCAAAAGTAACAGTTCTTGGAGCACCATCATCAGCATCAAACGACAAAATAACAGTTCTCTGGATTTTAAATACAGTATATTGCGTTTTTTTAAAGAGAATTACGAGGAATAATTTGAATAGAAGTGTTGCCCGATCAATTTCTCACAAGAGTACAGTACTGTATTGTCCTTTTGGAGGATGAAAAAGATTGTGATTCTATGGAAAAGGTGAGAGGTGCTTCCTCGCCCTTGAGATCCAAATTTGGTAAAAAAAATTTAAATAAAATCCGGGTACTTGGTGATGAAATGTAATAAAAGATAAGAACCAAGGTTATATAGAACCACCGTGAATCGAAGCAAGTCTTCTGTTATTTTTCGTCAGCGCAGTCCAGTACTAAAATGCCGCCATTAGTTGGGAATTACAAAACGAACGAGTCGATTGCGGAAATCTGCGATGAAGTTGCATCATTTTAGCTCGCTGCTGCAAATTATTGGCAACAGGTCGAGTTATTCAGAATCCCTTCCTCAAATACAATAAAAAATGGTTCAAAACGATGTGAAGTTGTTGAACAGAATGAAACTTTTTGCCGAAAATTTTGATCAACGGCTCGGTTTGCAAAATTTAAAAATAAATTAATTTTTCGCATTATGTTGCCAAGCTTAGTGGATATATTTTTTAATTTGAATGGATTATTTAGCACGTGTCTTTATCTAAATGGCGTATTTTGGTAAAATAAAAATGCTTGAGTTTTTCCTCAAAAATAAATTCTCAAACTATGGTTATTCGCAATTTGTTTGATTAAAGTTGCCAGAGAATCGCTTTTCAGGGTCCAGCTCTCCATTCTAGCTTTAATTTTCATCATATTCATGCACAGTATACTAATTGTTCAGAAGTGAAATTCCTTTGAACAGTTTTAAATGTTTGCGCAAATTCGTGAAATTTTGAAACGCTTCTTATCCCGATTTTTTTTTGTTAGACGACTGTATACGTTCGTTCAGGGATTTCTTCTGGATTTGATTGCCTCGGAAATGTACTTATCAGCAGGAATGACGAAAAATAAAAATGTGACTAAATCAAACAATAACAAGTAAAATTCTCCCCGTTCATTTCGGAATTTCAAGCAATGCCCGAACAATGATCCATGGTCAATGAAAATTAATTTTTTTGAAGCAAACCAGCTTTGAAAACTCAAATTTAAATAGAGAACGTGAAAAACTGAGAAGCTTTTATTGATGCAGGAATTGAAGGCAAAATAAATTCAAGTTTTCTTGAATATATTTGTATATATTTGTTCCTCCACTTTGAATATCAGTTGAAATATTTTGAATTCAACGGGTAGACCGCGGTCCGCAAACAGATGCTTGCAAATATCCTTAGAATTGCAAATTTAAGGTTCTATATCCGAAGTGCAACAAAAATATCATGAATGTTTTCAGTCTGAAGTTATGCACACACCAGCAAACATACAGGTGAGTTTATTGACAGAGTGTGTATACTTCTATTGGTTGAAATCAGACTTTCACTTCCGGTATTTTAAAGTACTGTACACAGTACACAGATTTACGTGAGTAAACATTTGGACTTTACGCAGGTAACCGACATTTGTTGTGGGAATTTCATCCAGTAGAATCAAACCCCCGGAAAAGTCAATCTTCGTATTAAAATTCAGCCAATTCATTTTTTTTTCTATTTTGGAAGCCGGAAATAGAATCGAAATGTCCAAGTTCACCCTGTACTGCATGTATAACTAACTGTACCATAAAAACGGGAGCTCGTGAATTTATTTATAACCTTGACTATAATGCATTCGTACTTTTCGTGCGTTGGCACAAATGGAAACATATACCCTGCATTTTTTTTTCCTTATTTGCTTTTCGTATTTTTTTCTTGCCGAAAACGACAGCATAAGAGGAATCGTATTTCTTGAGAAACTTTTTTTTTCTTGCAGAAATAGTCAATACTCAGACAAAACCGACTCGAAACACGAGATTCATTTTTTGCTTTTCCGTCCCATACTGAGAATCACGAGCATCAAAATTCATCACATGAAAAAATCACGGGCTGGAATCCACGGAAATAAATCGAATACAGTTGAACCTCGATAAACTCGAACCTGTTAAAGTCAAATACTGCACCTCACTCTGTCAAATATATTTTTCAAGTCACTGTCTAAATTCCCTTTGAAGGAAGGCATTAACTCGAAGGCTACCTCCTCCAAACCTCCATAACTCAAACTAAAATTTTCTTGAGGCCTTTCGGCTACAGTTTTTTTTTATTGACACAAGAAGAGATTTAAAAAATGAAAATTCAACTTAATGTGCTTTGAAAAGAAGTCAAAGACTAATTGGGCAGATGAACCCTTGCATCAGAATTCAGCATCCCATCAACTCATTCAAGAAACAATTCAAGGGCCAAAATATCACCAATTACAAAGTCCTGTCTGGGGTCCCTTTGAAACAATGTACTGTGTTAAAAATCTACAGAACTCCAAGGGTTCCTTCCTGAAACCTCCATAACTAAATTTTTTCTGGAAGCTTCAGGCATTAGTTTATTGAAACAATGCAGAGAAAAGCAATGGAAATGTAACTTGATGCATTTGAAAAAAGTAAGTGAAATACTAATTGGGCAAATGAACCCTTGCCTCTAACTTCAGCATTCTGTGTCAACTCATTCAAGAAGCAATTTAAAGGCCAAAAATATCACCAATTATTTCCTATCTGGGGTCCCTTTGAAACAATTTACTGTTTTAAAAATCCACAGAACTCCAAGGGTTCCTCCCTGAAACCTCCATAACTAATTTTTTTTTCTGGAAGCTACAGGCATTATTTTATTGAAGCAGTAAAGAGAAAAGCAATGGAAATGTAACTTGACTCATTTAAAAAAGGAAGTGAAAGACTAATTGGGCAAATGAACCCCTTGCCTCTAACTTCAGCATCCTGACAACTCATTCAAGAAGCAATTTAAAAATCAAAAATATCATCAATTATTTCCTCTCTGGGGT